AGCCCCCCCCCCATATGCCGGGGCTGCGGCGGTGCAGAGTGAGGAGCGCGTGACTCCGGCGTGGGCATGCGCTAACCACACGGTGTGTGACGGTGCAGCACACCTGGGTGCCGTGGGCCCCATGGGGCCCCCAGCAGCCCCTGCCCATCCAGAGGGAGGGGATGACCCCATCTCCTTCCTCCCCAGCAGACCCTTCCCCTCCCTCCCCTCCAAGGCTCAGTGGCCAGCACAGCCCTGAGTCATAGGGAGGGAGAGAGGGGGCATGCAGAGGAGGAGGAAGGTGGGATGAATCCCCTGTGGCCTCCTCCCCCTGGCTGGGGAGGGTCATGTCACCGCAGCCCTCCTCAGAACACCACCTTGCAGGCGGGGAAGGTCTCATCCTGCATGGCCACGGTGCTGTTGCTGCCCAGCACCGTGATGCCCAGCTCCTGCTGCCGGTCGTGGGTCTCCTGGTACCACTCGTGCATCACCAGCGAGTCGAAGGTGGGGATCAGGGTCACCTGTGGAGACACCGACAGCACTGGGTCACAGCCCTGGTCCCTGGCGAGACCCCTCACCCAGGCACATTCCCCCCCAGGACCCCTGCGGGCTCACCTGAATGTCGGTGCCCCACTGGTGCTTGCCGGCGAGCAGGGCATCCAGGATGGTCCGCATGACGCCCTCCTTGAGGTGGTCGTCGCCGCTCACCACGTAGCAGAGGGAGCGCACGCGCCGGAAGAACTCCTCGTCCACCGTCCGGGCGCTCCATGAGCCAGGCAGGTAGGCCAGGTCCACGTAGACAGGGGGCCCTGGGGGGGCTGCAGCTCGCGAGCCTGCAAGGACAGGGACGCGGTGCTGTGGGCTGCGCGGGGGGGCACGCCGGCCTCCAGCCACCCTTTTCCCCAGGACATCATACACATCCTACCCCAAACCCCCAGACCGCATTGCCCCAGCAGCGGCTCCGAGCTGCTCCGGTACAGGGAAAGCGGAGGCGTCCCGGAGTCACGGTGTCCTGCTCCTGCACCCACACCCCATGGCACCACCCCCCCAGCCCCACAGGAACCCCAGGCCTTACCTGCCGGAGATGCCCTGCCGGCCCCTGCC